TTGTGTTTACTCTTCGTTGTGGTCTTTCTTCCATCCTCGGCGCTGTCTTCAACAGTTCGTGCCCGGGCCGCTGGCTCTGACAGGAGGGCTGCTAAGGATGGTTCGAGAGCACCGAGTTCAGGAGAAGGGGAGGGTCATGGCTGGGGCCGGTCAGACACCCAGGCCTTTTCTCTTCTGATGGTTAGAGCCCAGGGAATCTTCCAGCCTCTTGCCCTGGTGGTGTGAGTCCAGCCCCTAGCATTCTGGGAACAACGGGAAGCAGAGGGCTGCCCTGTATTCAGCAGTGAACGTTCATTTATCTCCTCCCATTTTTACTTCTGCAGTTGTCCCGGTCCAGACCTGCTGTCGTACTCAGGGGAGGGACAGTCACCTGCTGTGTGGAGTCTCCCAGGAAGCTGGGGCTTTAACTGCCGCTCAGACAGACTCTTTTCCTTCCCACCTTTCTTCCTGTGTTCGGACGCACTTGGTTCTCCCCGTTCTCCCGTGGGTGCCGCAGGGGAAGTCACGTGGCTTCTGGCTCTCCGCTCGGCCTCCTTGGGGCTCCCATTTGCAGCTCAGCTAAATGTGGCACCACGGGGCCCATCTGCTTTCCGGCTTCCAAAAAATCGAGTTGCCTTGTTTCCCTCTGATCTTTTTTTGTGGGATTATGCCTGGAAACCACCCCCCACCCCCAGGTTTCAGTGGACTTTCAGGAGAAGAGCAGAATAAATGTGTGTCTGTGTGATCTGAGGTTTTTACCTTTTCTGCCTTTTAGACACTTGTGTGTTCACAGCTTTCTGAATCAACTCCGCCACTCCCCCTGCCTCCCCCCCCTCCCCTGCTCGGGGTGCCCCTCTCACCCCTCCCCTGCTTGGGGTGCCCCTCTCACTCACTCCTGCTCCCCCTCTTGTGCTCCCCTCCCTTGAGTCTGCTCACCTGGTAGGAGCCAATTCTGCTAAATCCTCCCTCACAAATCTTTCTGGAGCCTTCCCAGTGACAATCATCCTTCCTTCCTCTGAACTCACGCAGCATTTCTTGGTCTGTTTTTCTTACACATGCTCTGCCTCTTTTTAACTACTCGTTTGTGTTATCCGATCAATTGTAATTTCTGACAGTGGGCAATGATTATTGCTTTGCCTTCATTCAATAATTAGCACAGAATAAATACTGAATTTTTTTTCTTTTGGTCTACGTGGATTTTTAGCGATCTTTTTTCTAGTCTTCTGTTTATAAGTGTATTCTTATTTGAAAACTGGACAGGATATTGACCACGGCTGTATGCCGTGGTTGCTGCAGAAGTAGGATGCTCTTTCCAGTTGCAAATACTTTCTTTGAAACTTGCATAAAATGTGCAGAGGCCATGCATTATACAGGTCACAACTCACAGAAACTCGTTAGCTTGTTGCGTAATGTGACGATGCTCTTTATGGAATCTGGGAGATTTCTTGAATTTGGGACAGGAGTGAGTCTGTCCTTCAGACTTTGCCTGCAGTGTTTTCTCTTACTGCTCCTGGAGTTGAGTGGCCACCAGCATTCCTCACAGCTTGCATCTTGGGAAGTTACTGTGCTGACGTTCTGACTTGGTCTCAGGAAATGTTCTCTCCACCCTGTTCCTCCCGCACTAGGCCAGGCTCTAGCTCGTTCTTTATCTGGACAAGCAGCAGTGATTCCTCATGTCGTTTTGTCTCCAGACTTCTTCTCTGGGCTTGGACCCATCCCTGGGGACATTTGCCTCTTGACAGTCTACTTGATGGCTGAACTTGGCTCCTTACGTGTTGCTTATGTGTGATGGACTTTTGGTTGCCATAATGTAAAATTGTCATTGTTTAAATCTTTGGTTATTTTAAGTGGACATATCCTAATTGAGAAATATTCTTTTTCTTTTTTAAAATTGAATATTGTGTCATGTTCGTTTTAACCTAGTGACTGGTATAATTATTGTAAAATTAGTGTTGATTAGTAGTGTAAAAAGTGGCTTGTCACAACTTACATTTCTAAGTTTCTACAGACAGGACAGCAAGGAATTTTATTATTTCAGACTTTCGAATGCAAACAGCCACAAAGTAGAATCAAGTGTGTTCCAGCTTTTCCCCTGTTGGAGACGTGACCATTCCCTTGAAAATACAGCAGGCCCCTCTGTTTATTGAAAGAGAATTATGTTGATGAAAATTGCCAGTTAAAATCTCCCAAGAAACCATTGTTCCAAGGAGTTGTATTTCTCAGTGGCAAAAATATCCTTCCTTGTTTTTATACTCTTGCGGGAGGAGGTCATTCTTAGATGCCCTGCTCACATCTGATTTTTTACAATGTAGCCTGCTTTTGTTGGGATTCCTGGTGACCTCCTCAACTCCTTCTCTTCGAAGAGTCATTTCCATTCAGCACAGTTTTGTGGAGTGGCAGCCTGATGTTTGCCTTGGCGCGACGTTGTCATGGCTGCTCAGCATAGCCGAGGGTTGAGTCAGGACCCCTCTGGGGGGGCGGGAGTCAACAACTGAGTCTCAAAATTAGAAAAGCCTTGATCAGTTAGTTGGAGGGTTAAAAGCCAAGTTTATAGAGTATTCCAAAGAGGCGGGGGAGAGTGATCACTGGTGTCAAATTCTGCTGACAGACTAAGATGAGGTTTCAGAACGGACTTTTTTTTTTTTTTTTTTTTTTGCATTGGGCAACATGGAGGCTGTTGGTGATGTGATGAGCAGTTTTGGGAGTGGGTCAGGGGAGGAAGCCTGGTTGGAATTGGTTATGGGAAGAGGCAAACCTGAAACAAGCATAGAAAATTCTTTGAAGAATGTTGCTGTGAAGAGGATCAGAGAATTGGTACACTAATTGTAAGCTAAAGTCGGGTCAAGAAAAGTTTTTGTACTGCTTATGTAAAAATAAAGCATTAACGGTCTTCAAGGCTCAAGCTTGACACCTGACTACTGTTTTCCATACTATTATGGTTTGTAGGAACATTCACGGTGGGCTGGAGATATACTTCTATTCCGCCTGTGGGTGTGATGGTCAGGATGAGCTCTGGGAGAACAAGATGCCTGAGAAGTTCTGATGGATGGACAGGGTTGGCAGGGGGAGGAGTTGGGACCTGGGCATTGGGGTCACTGGGCTCGGGATCAGGGGTCCAGCCTTGCAGGACTTAATACAGGGTGTGGAAGACGAAGTTCTTGGTCAGAGGTGGGAATGTGGCACATTCTGAAGGATGAAGTTTTGAGGTTGAGCAAGTCTCGAGGTGGGGATTTATTTCAAAGGGGTGGCTCCAGATGTTATGTGAAGGCTACAGGTTATGATCTCATCTGCAGGGTGAAGAGGATTAGGAAGCTTCAAGAACAGTTTTCATGAGACACATCTTGGAGGTTGGTCTGTGTGTGTGTGTGTATGGAAGTGTTTTAGAAATGAAAGTTGATATTTAGCACGTGAGGCCACCCTAGAGCTTTGCTTGGTGGGAAGGGGAGGACAGGATGTGCTTGCTGTCAGTGGCCAGGGGGCACCTTTCCCGTAGGCACCCCCAGGGAATTCGTGATTGCCAACTTGGAGAGTAATACCATTTGGTAAGAAGACTAGGAACTCAGAATATCGTTTGTTTTGGGGCTTTGTTCTTTGGTGGCTCAACAAATCTGGAAGTGACAAATTCTGGAGCTCTCATAGTTGGCAGGTTCCCTGGAGGACATTATAATCGGGGATTTATGTGCAGTCAGGCCCCACAAAGAAAAAGATGCCAAGATACGTGCGTGTGTTTTGCAGACTGACTCTGGGTGTTCTGGATGAACAATTCCTTTTATGGAGGTCCAGATAGTTGAGGGTGCAGAGTAACTGGAGGTTATTCGCATAGTAGTTTTTATGGTGATGTTTAAGAGGATTAAGGTTTGAGCTGATGGCTGTGCTGGTTAAAAAGTGACAAGGTAAGAAGTGTTCCATTTTAGTGGCTCTTAGGCATGCCTCTGTTAGAGATTCACCTGGAGGGCTGCTTAAGAATGGATTCTCATCCCCTCCCCACCCCAGGGTCTCAGTCCATAGGTCTGGGGAGGATCCAGGAATCTGTATTTTAACTATTATTAATCTTTTGCCTCTGTTTCCTGGCTTTGCTTCAAGAAAGAACTACATCAAACATTACTTTTTAGATTGGAAAGATGGAGTGTTAACTTGAATTGAACTTTTGGATAGCAGTTTGGTGTCGTAGAGAATGCAGAAGCTAACGGCAAAACATACACGTTGTTATGTTTCCATTGCGGTATGTGAGAATGATGGTGAAGGCTCAAAAGCAAACAACTGTTTCCTCATCAAATCTGAAAACAGGGTTTTAAGGTTTTTTAATATATATACCATACAGAAGTGTGTACCATTTAAAACATTCTTTTTCTCTCTTCTGCCCAATTCCACTTCCTGCAAGAACCACTGCAAATTTTGGTGTGTTTTTAGACATTTCAATATGTACATATACAGGTGTGTGTGATTTTTGCTTTTGTAAAAAGAGGCTCAAACCACATAGCTGTTTTGAGCCTGCGTGGTCCACTCGTGGTCTTGTCAGCATCCTTCTGTGTCTGTGTCTTGACTTGTTCGTAAGGAGCACTTTGAGCAACCAGTGTGTGCAACCCACTTTTTGCAAATAAGCAAAAATCTGAGTTTTTCACATGTATCATATATGCTGTTGCTTATTAGGATATTTTTGTAGATTGCATTGAGGGGATTAGTATGTGTTTCATATATTGGATGATGGGAACCTAATATACTTTAGAGAAATCAATATTTCCTCTGCATTGAGTTTTGCTGGTTTCTGCAGTTCCTATCATAACAATGTATCAGCATCTGAGCCAAAGGGAAGAGTATGCATGAGTCACTCCATCATAAAAGAAAAGGAAAATGGACTCAATACCAAATTTAAGCAGCTACCTGAATTTTTACTCCATTGCAGTATTGTTGATATGGTCGATTCCTTTTTATGGGCAGGAAGTTATCACAGTTTAAATGGTCAGATTACCTTTCGGTGGTGGCTGACTCACTATATTCAATATTTCTGTTCTTTTGTGTAGGATCCAAACTACTGGATACAGGTGCATCGCTTGGAACACGGTGATGGAGGAATCCTGGACCTAGATGACATTCTCTGTGATGTAGCGGATGACAAAGACAGAGTGAGTTCATGCCCAGGGGAGGCTGCTCTGAATGCATTTTTCTGGGACCGGGGAGGGAGGTGGGTAGGTAGGTAGGCGTCCTTTCATTTCTGTTTTACACACATACTGTAAGGAACGTTTGGGCCACTCACTTTAGAATGTTTTGTTTTATAATAAGTATCATGAATCTTCACTAACCTGAATGCGAAGGGTATAATGATTTTCTTGATACCTAAGGACTTAAGTTTTGGAATTTTTAAATTGGAACTTTTTAAATGGAAATATCACAAAAAGGTTTGTGCCCCTTTCTCTGTTATTTTAATGAAATGTAACCTCTTTCTTGACTACTCAGGCCCATCTGTGTGATCACTGAGTTGTACGACACACAAGGTCTCTGAGTTGGGTCCCAGCTTTGGCTCAGAGACTATCCGTCCCCACTGCGGGCCTGAGTGCTGCACTGCCTTGCTACGGGATGGATGAGCCAGTGTGTCCAGGTGTTCTCCCTTGTTGTGTGCCTGGCTTTCAGAAAGCCATCTCTCTCTCCCTTGTGGCTGGGGGTGTGCTTTTACGTGGTGACACCATCTTCAGCGTAGTCTGTGATTTTGGCATCGTAAACACGGCCACCTACGGCACCTCAGTGTTACTTTACTCCCCCCACCCCCTCTTTTACGTACCCTTGCAAGGAATCAGGAGGAGGGGACTCTAAACATCTTTTTTTTT